CTCAGAATATAACAATACCAACTCTATTAGGCCGTCAGATATCGAAATATATTTATCCATTAAATGAGAAAACAATCGCTTTTCCATATCCACTTAATAATGATGAAAATATTTTGCACGATATATTAAAATGGGAACTCTTCTTTTTACAAATTGGATGTAAGACACCAGTATTATGTATTACTGAAATGGATGTATTAAATACACTTCCAATTTTACCGTCGTTTACCTCTTATTTCAGTTTATCAATTAAATTAGCTGAAGAAATCTTAAATTATCGGTCAGAGACCATACGAACTTTTCTACAAAAATTTCCAATTTTATGTTCAAACGAATTGATCAGTCCTGTATCGGCAACATATGATCAAACATTAATCAATGATTTACAATTTTTACCTCATCTTGATATTCCTCCACATACACGTCATTTAGCAAGTTTATTAAGTGTTTGCACTGAAATCAATTTAAAATCTTGTTTAACTGTTCTACAGATACTATGCATTAATCAAAACAAAGATATTGATTTGTATATTGAATGGATGGTCCGTTTACAATTGTACATTCGAGAACAACAAAAACAATTTCACTTAGAAGATATACTATATATATGTAAACTATACATACCTGAATCAGATAAATTTTGTTCATTAAATGAACTGTTTATTACTACAAATGATAAATATACAGAAGAAATGAAAATTATTACAAAGTATTTAAACTATGAATATATCTCACCAACTTTTAATAGTAGATACTGGCAGTTTAAAACGTTACTTATAACTCTTAATCATTGTCATTGTCAACCAACCATAGCGGAATTAATTGCTGTTTTACAATTGTTTAGTCAAGATAAAAATAATTTTTATCAAATAAGTGATTGTACAATGATCTTGACCGAAATAGGAAACGAAAATGTTTCGATTTTATTGCAATATTTGGAAACATTTTTATTATCAAAGATCTTAGATGATCATTCAGAATTATGTCAGGTAGTCAATCAACGAAATATGACTGCACCTTATGGTAGTAAAGATGATTGGAATTGACGATTTAAATTAATGGAATTACATATAGAATTGAAGACACTATCACCTACTCAAAATGGAATAAACAGAATAAAACATCATACCAATATCGTGACTTCGATTGATGAAACATGCTTTATTCCATTGTTAACCGTTGATCAACAACTTATTAGTAGCTCAATAAATATTGTTTATTCATGTTCAGAATTGAAATTAATTTAATGTTTTGTGAAAGATAATAGTATTCGTCGTTTCGTCTCTCCAATCATAACGAAAAACTGTCCATTATTAATGGCTTCATTAAACATCGACTATATTGAAAGACGAGGATTAATAGCATGGAATGATTCCATTAATAATCTCGAATATACATTGACACAATTAACAAGAATATTTCAAGAAACATTAACAAATAATAAATTACAAGTAGTTGGAGCCCGTTATGCTTCGATCAGGCTTTACTTGTCAGACAATACTGTATTAACTGTTGACAACATCGATGACGTTAGTACTGTTGATCAATACTTTTTAGAAAGTGACTACCCATTTTGGATATTTGATAATACAGTTGTTTTATGTATTAGATATGTCAAAGATATTCAAGGAAAAGCAGCCGTTACACTCTCAGCACTAACAGTTCTATTATATAAGCGAAACGATTTATCATTGGATGAAGCGAAGATCATTGTACGAGAAAAAGACTTTAGTAATAAAACTAGAACAAACGCAAAAACAATCTGAACATCGGCTAAAACATTAGCTAATGGACTATTGGATAACACTAATCGAGAACATTCAGTGATACCGATGATTTTTGACTCAGCTGAAGGGGTTCCCGAATTTCGCCAATAAGACTTTCGCCAACAGGACATTCGCCAATGGCGAAAGTGCTGCAGTTTATTGGCGAAAGTTCAGCAGACGTTCGCCAATTGGTGAAAGTACAAGAACACTTCGGCGAAAGTCCAATGGACTTTAACTAATTAATTAACTAAAATCCAGTACTTTATTGGCAAATATCCAGACATTTATTGGCGATATTCCAGCATACTTTCATTGATTATCAAGAAAGGATGTCGATTAGAGATATGTGGAGACTGACACAGATCAAGCTCTAGTGTCGATGACAATAAAACAATCGTTGAAATTTTTTCATTACAAATTTAAGTTACGCTGTACTGGCGAAAGTGTGAGAAATGCACTGGCAGAAGTACAGTGGACATTCGACAATTGGCGCAATTCTGTGGGATACATTGGCAAAGGTCATGTGGACTCTCGCCAATAGGCAAAAATCCATAAGGTATGTTGGTGAAAGTACGATGGAATTTCGCCACTGGCGAATGGCCAGTTGGCGAAGTTCCGGTAACCCCAGCTGAACAAGAACAAATTGGTCGTTGTGCTGAGCATTTTTTTTACCGGTATTTAGAAGGGCTGTATGATGCTGATATAACACCAACAAATAACTGGAGATCATCTACACGTTTATCGGTATTTCCAAACTTTCGTCAAAATGTTGATGATTCAGCTGAATACGATTTTTTCATCAAAGACACTCATCAAATGTTTGTACAAGGAATTGGAGGCAATATTTTGACACTTTTTATTGAAGTTAAAGGCATTAAAGACAAGTACAATAGAAAAACTACGACGTTTCATACATCTAATAGCGAATTACAAGTCTGTACCAGTATTGCTATGAATGACAAGCGAAAGGAAAAAGAAGCTTATCTGGTTGTCATAGTCGAAAATTCATTGAATCCTTCGATAATAGATATAAGACCCGTTATCGTCTGGTAAGTTTCCTTGAAAAAATAGAAAAGAAAAATTACAACAGTTTTCGGAAAAGGCTTAGGAACATTTAATGAAGCCTCAACCAGGATAGATTGATCGCGTACACTTTAGACAATCTAATCAGGTGTTCAACTCAATATCAAAGTTACAAGACTGGCCTTTCAGTCATAAGATAGATCTTCACGTAAGTAGTGAGTGTCTTCTCCTTTACTCGAACAAACGATTTGCAAGCTATTTTCTACTATATTCAAAATGCAAGGTATTTAATACCTGGGTCATCTTTTCATACTGCTATATGTAAAGTTGGTTGGCTTTTTGTTGAATTTCTTTTTTGATGTAGCTCTATTGCAATTCTTTCCTTGCATTTGCGTTTTCTACTATTTATAGGAGTGAAGACATGAATATTTTATGTGAGCCTGATAGTTTTATTTGTCGACTTGAAAATAAAAATGATACCAGAAAATCAATAAAGTTTAATGAACTGGACGACCAATGGTCACGTCTGCACAGTTCCTGTATGCACAATGAAACTAAAGCTGAAGATTGTAGAAAAACGGAAATAAGAATCAGTCAAGACGTTCGATATAGTCCACTGGAGCCTTATTCAAGACATTCTTCAAATAATGCTGCTACAGTCCGGAATCAGCAGTCGCAAAGAAACACATACATATCCGATACACTGAACAGGACTGAGAATTCAAACTATGAACAACAACAAGCGCAACGCTATGTACCTCCTATCGATCAGTCCTCACAAGATACTTTTATTCAACCAATTCGTGGGCGAGGAAGAGGTCGTGGTAGAGGGGTTATTAATAAAACACATTTCAGGAATACATAACAAACTTTGTTACTAAAGCCTTTTTGACGAGATTTGCAGTTATTTCACCTCTCACGAGGGAACCGCCTGAGGTGCTAAAAATCTTTTTGAGTGGGACTATTTTTAAAATGTAGATCCTCATGGACTATGAAGAATCCCAACTTGGTTCGTGCGCAATCAGCTTTGTTGCTGAGATA